TGCGGAGAAGCATGCTTTGCCTCCATGTAGGACTATTTGGTATCCGACGCTGCGAAGTGACGGGCGGGGTGGCGGATTGGAGGCGCTAAGGCAACTAGCCGGTGCTGGATGATGAGGCGATGGGTTAGCTCCAAACTTGTGATGTCGCGGCGGAGATATCTCCAGGAATTCCTATCTGACCAACGCTCTGCCATATTATTGCGCTGTGCTCGGCGGTGGGCTGAGTACCTCCCGGCGCAGGTGAGTATCGCTGCGCGCGCGGCGACTGCGGCCCGGGAGAGATAGCCTTCAGACCTACTAGTACTGCTTCCTGGAGTTCACACCTGGGTGTATCCCAAGTTGAGAGCTTCCTGCGCTGCTGCATACTTTATGAGCAATGTGCGGAAGACTCGCGCAAACTTCAGATATTGTTTACTTGAGACTGCATTGAGGTGACCTCACCACGGGAAGCGGAAACTGCGGAGGGGCTGGAGGCGCCAACCACGGCAGTGGCACTTGGAACGGACTGCCAGTGCACTCTGCAAGCGACGGCAATGACAGCCTGAGGCTTTTCTCATTTCCCTCTTCTCGCCGCTCATTCTCTCCCTTTCGTCTCCCCCTCGCCCTCGCTGTGCGCTTCATGTCCTCGCCGTCGTACGTCCTCGTCCCTCCAACACCCATCGGCACTCCGCTACCATCACCCCGCTTGAGTCGCACACCGGACGGGCACTCGCTAGCACTCCCAGATCTCGCCCACTCCACCGAAGGCTCGACCGACCGCGAGCGGAGTTCGTCGGAAACGACGACGATTGTAACTATTTATTCCATGTATGAGGAAGACGCCAGCAGCTGGTCTGCCGCCGCCGCCAATGCCGTCAACCAGGCTGGCCAGTCTCGTCCACGGAGCCGCAGTTTGAAGGATGGGGTGCAGATCGCTGGGAGCGATGCGGCGACCTACCGGGCATCATTCCTCCAGAACGACCCCGCCGCGCTTGAGGACAGTGCGTTTTACGATACCACCACCTACGACTTGCGCCGCGCCAGCATGGGGAAGCGACTGAGTGTCGCCGACAAACCTAGGCACTCTGTCGTCTCGGCAGGCTCTGTGCAGCTGGCCTACGCGAACAGCAGGCCTCCATCCGTCTACCGACACTCCGTCGTGGATAGCACGAGTACTGCTGGAGCACCCAGGCGAAGCATCGGCTCAGACTCCCATCGACGACCCTCTGGACCACGTAGTCGACCGTCATCTGCACAACACAAGGCTTCGACATCAATACAGTCGGTGGTCAATGGCGACAGTAAGGCTCCATCTGTGTCTCTCGATGACAGTACCCGAGAGCTCAAGCCGCTACCACAAACCCCGCCATTGACGCCCCTTGTATCCCCTCCGTCCACCCCCGGCACTCCCATGACACCGCCGCAGAGACCCCTTCGCTTCTCCCCTTCGCCCTCTCCTGACCCTTCATTGCGTGTTCCTGCCTCAGAACGCCTTTCTCCGGTCGCATCGCCACGCAGTTCCGCCTCTGCTGCCAGTCTCGCGGAAAGCAAGCACTCCGCGGTTGCACCCTCCGAAGGCGAGGACCCGGATTCCTTCCACGTCCGGAGCACCTACGCGCAGCTTGACCAGTGCGGTGTCAAGGGCGACGGGATCGAGGAGGGCGTAGAGCGGACGCGCGCGCGCGTCGGCGGCAGCCGCCAGAGCGAGCTCCGCGCGCAACAAGCCCTGGGCGACGAGCATGAGAAGACGCGGGAGCTGACACCGCAGGAGATTCAATTGCTGCAGAGCCTTGACAGGTAGGCCGGACGCATGCTTGGACATGCACCTGTGCTGACGTTCCGACAGGTACGGGTTCTTCACGATACCCTCTCATGATCGCCTCGTTCCCATTCCTGCCGCACCCCTACACCGGCCACTCGCGCATATAGCCACAGCTGTAACGTCTGGTCCAGCGAGCCCATCACTACTTCCGCGCCATCCAGAGTACCGGTCTCCCGCCAAGGAAACTTCTCGTATCGCGAAGTGGGGTCGCATGGTGGTAGCTGCGTCTCGAGACGAAGGCGGTAACGTCGACTTCTGGAGCATCCGGCCATCGAAGGAACGCAAGTTTCGTGAGCGGATATACAAGGGCATCCCCGACTGCTGGCGATCGGCCGCTTGGGAGATTCTCATGTGCAGGTTCTCGCGGGCGGGCAAGACCGAGCTGAGGCAGTTAATGCGGGACTACCGGGACGCGCTCGACAAGCCCTCGTCGTATGACGTGCAGATTGACTTGGACGTGCCAAGGACGATCAGCGGGCATGTCATGTTTAGGACACGATACGGCCAAGGGTACGTCTTCTTTCCCTGGAGTTATGCCTGTTGCCTCACCTGCGCGCTCGCAGGCAACGGTCGCTCTTCCACGTTCTGCATTCACTATCGCTTCGATGCGATACGTGCGGCTATTGTCAAGGCATGGGACCTATCGCGGCTACATTGCTCTGCTACTACGAGCCCGAGCGCACGTACGCAGCCCTAGTACGGTTGCACGACTCCTACAACATGCATTCGATCTTCAGCCCAGGGTTCCGGGCTTGTTGGAGGCTATATACGTTCAGGAGCGATTAACGGAGAAGATGCTTCCTGCAGTCTACGCCGCATTCAAGAAGCATATGGTCTCCACCACCTCGTACGCAACGAAGTGGTACATCACACTGTTCGCGAACTCGGTGCCGTTCCAGCTACAGCTCCGCTTATGGGATGCTTTCCTCCTGGAGGGTCATGATATCTTTGTGGTCGTCGCCATTGCCCTTGTGTGGGTATATCGAGGTGGGTCTCCCGTCTGTTCGCGTTCCGTGTCCGATGTCAGTCTGATGCGTGGCTATAGATCACATAACCTCCGACGCGGCGAACTTCGAGACCATCCTCTCTCTACTGTCATCATTCTTCGTCCCGGAGGATGAAGATGCCCTGCTGCTATGGATTGAGAAGGTCCTCAGCGACAAGAAGCTTCGGTCGGACATGGTGCGGTGGCGATCAGATTGGAACCGTCTTGTTGCATCCGGCGAGCAGCACTCTGCGCTGCTATAGCATTTGGACGGACTTGATGCTCACGGACACCTGATTCTTTCGTCGCATTGGGACCTGCTCTCTCGCATTGCATCACATCGCATCCACCGGACGTTCGTGGCTGTATCACACACACTACACTGTTGGGCTGTCTGTCTACTCGTGTGTCCATATCCTTCCTTTATCTCGGATGTCCTGGTTTCCTCCTGTTTTCATCATCGTTCGCTGCTCTCGCATATTCTGTCAATACACATAACCCTACGCGTCGTATGCTAATCGTGATACCACGTCGCCGTACCATATAACCCACTTACAGTAGCCTACAGCAGTCGACTCACATGTACCGGTTGTGGATAGCTCGGATAGGCTGAAATACAAGGCAGGGTAGACTCGCAGCCTGGTGCGGCGACGTACGTCCGTACGGCAGCATCGCGTTAGCAGAACAAGACGTCGGATGATCGGAGAGCTGAGTCCAACTCATGTTGTTGATCCATATGTGTCTCTCGTGGGTGAGTTGCCCTAACTTGCCTCTTTTGTAATTGCTCACTTATGTCGAATCCTAGGGCGCGTTCTGTACTGATAGGGCAAGGTCTGTTGTATTCCTCTGTTAGTCGCCCACACTGTCTACTTCTCCCGCATGGCCCGTTCCTCGGCAACTCTGATGTTCTCTCACACCGACGCACGAACCCATTTCCGCACTATCCCTTGACCCCGAAAAGGCAGGGTGTGCTAAACGCGTATCATGTGAGTCCATCCCGTTTTGGCAGACCCCTTGTACTGACGCGTACACAGGAAAGGCAACCCTTATGTTCTCACTAACTGCTAGCTTCGCGGTTTCGCATAAAAGAGCGCTGCTAGGGAGTGGTCGCCCTAGGCTTCGCTTGCCCTACAGCCCACTTGGCCACATTCAACGAGCCAAACGCCTATCACTCCTCGGTCTCTATCACTTGGACGCCTACGAGCACGACGACATTCTCGTCTCCTCGTCTCGGAGAACACGATTACCACTACGCCCGACGCGTAGACAACTCGGCGCTGCCAAACTACCCCGCGACCGTTGCCCACCATTCCCAAACGTTGGAGCACCATCATGTCCTCGCTGTACACCGCTCCTCCCTCATCGCCAATCGCAAGCTTCTTCCCTTCCGGTCCCGCGTCGCCGCACGCATTCTCCTCGTTCCAGCAAGACCCGCGCAGCACCCACACCATGTACTCCGCGCTCGGGTCGAGCACCGCACACAACATCCCTCAGGGTCAGTCCCAACCCGCGTCGAAGAAGTCAGTGGGCAAGTAGGCTACTCCGTAGTCTGCTCCCCATCATACCCTCATGCTCTTCGCTGCCTTCGTCCGTGACAAGACGGCCTGCGCGCTTCGCATCACGCGCTACCACTCGAGGAGATGTGACGGTCCGACGGAGCACTTGCGCGAAGGTTCCTGGCGAGGGAGCTTTTGTGCTGCGTTTCTATGGCCACGGTACTCAGGTACGGTGGATGTCTTCCGACGCGCAACTATCATCGTCAAACAACGGACCCTTCCATTCCATGCATTGCTTCCCGTAATCTACTAGTGCCAGTACCTCCGCATTCCCACATCCATTGTCATTGACCCACATCCATCCATGTCCTCGGCATACCATCTCCATCCATGTCTCCGGTCTATTATTTTGCATTATTTCCCGACACGCCCATCACGTCCACTTGTTGTACACGCATCTGTAGAGGTTACATGTATCCATAAGCAATCTTTATTGTGTCGCAAGACACCCTCGATACCACCTTCTCGTCTTCTCCTCTGGTTCAAGAATAGTGCCAACGCGAATACCTCCGTACAGCCTTGAATACGGTGAACACCCTCCTGTCGGCGAGGCGGAGGATGGTTGTAAGCCGGTACTTAGTACTTAGTACTTAGGTACGACACTATACAGTATATACCTTTCGTAGCATGAGCTGTTGCTAAGTACCGACCTCCACGAGGCGCTATAGCCAAGTGGTTACGGCGACAGATTAGAATGGGGAAAAACGTTATTATCTGTTTCCCTTTGGGAGCGCAGGTTCGAATCCTGCTGGCGTCGTGTTTTTTTTGTCCTGTTCGCTTCAGTTGACCACTGGTTTCACTAGTAGACATGGGAATGGCGAGGGTACGGAATGAGAATCCGAGTCGAGGAGGAGCAGAGGAGGCACGATTCTAAAAGCGCCCATGACACTCATGGGCGCCACGCGGCAGTGCTAAGGCGCGTCTGTATGGCCCGCATGGTTCATTTTCTTTCTCTGTTCTACCGTTGCGACTGCATGCGTTGCAGCATCCATGACTCGCGTAACTTGGCAAGTTTTCCCGACATTCCGTGTAAAGCCTGCGTCTGAGTGGTACTTGTAGCAGAAACTCCGGGTACTTGGTCTCCTCTTCGTCGGGTTCATCAACAGATTCCGCGTCTCGTGGCCATAGGAAGCATACCAGGAATGCAGATAGGCATGATCTGCCATTGAATAGGGTGAGGTAGTATGTACACTGGCGCGGGTCTGCCTCACGCGTCCGATAGAAGGTGTGATATTAACCCGGATGTCGATCCTTCCCAGGTTCCAAAGAAACGCCAGCGGACCGCCCGTGATACGCAATACATCAAACCTTCCGGAGAGCCCAGTGAGTACTGTTCAGCATGTAGTACGCTGCTACTGATCCACCCCATCCACATGAATAGGGCTTGTGTATGAGCCATCCCCCGACGATGCTGTCGAAACAGACAGAACCTTCCTCACTGGGGAGGATCCGGTAGAACACCACGACGCGAGCGACTTGAAGCCCGTACGAATACTGCACGACTTCATCCTCTTTGACCCCTTGAACCACTTCGAATCTATCCCCTTGGACTTCCTTGACGACGCATCAGAGAGCGGACGTGGGTTTGAGGCCGCCGGCTTCGTAGCACCGCTATTCCTGGATGACGACGACGACGCGGACAGCGACGACGAAAATATACAAGATTTGCCACGCCTGCATACGAGTGCTGTTTGGCGCTATTCGATTGACTACACAACGCCTGACGAGTACGTGCAGTGTGTTTCCGAGCGTGCATGCTATGCGAGCTCGTGGCTAACAGTTGATGTGCAGTCCCATTTACATCGAGACGACATATGCCTTCTATGTCCTGGCGTCGGCCGAAGCTTCGTACCGCCCGTTGCATCTCAATTTCTACCGGCCGCATCGCATCGCGCAGCTCGTGATCTCCGCTGCAAAAGAAGGGTCACTGTTGACATTCACGCACTTTGAAGAGACTTATGTTGGGGCATGGGACCCTTTCCTTGAAGAACACATCCAGCTGGAGGACATATGCAGTGCAGTGAGTTTCAGGTGGTCCGTGGCCAGCAGTCAGTTCATCTCAACTTTGTACAGGTCCCGCTAGTACGCGCTATCATTGAGCAGGATCGAACACTGCGACACACCGTTGTCTCATTGCCGTTTGTCCAGCATATTTTCTCACTTGTGGACCAGCGCACTTCACCCGAGCTTGGGTATTCAATACCACCACCACAACCCAGTCTTGCCCAGGTCATAGCCCCGCTGAGGCGACCTGGGAACATCGATCTCGCCGTCCTCAGGACCGACCATCAAACCCCGATCCATGTCACCCCTTTCATCGATGATCTTGCACAGGGGCTCGTCCATGAACCTCTACAGGTTGTTGGCCCACCCACAAAGCGCCCCGCAGCCCATGACATGCAACGGCGACAGCGTGCAGTCCGTGAACACCTAGTGCAAATGGTTGGTCGCTTCCGGGCACAGCGGCAGGCAGGCGATGTGCGCATTCAGTTTCCCAAGGACAAGCAGCTCGACGATGACCATTGGGAGGCTGTTGTTGTGGGTGAAGCTATGTACCAGGTGGGTTCATTTCTGATAATGACCAGGATGTTGGCAATTGACAAAGAACTATCCCATCAGGTTGGCGACTGTATCCTCGTAGAGAGCGGCCCCTGGAAGGATCGAGAGTATCCGAGAATACCGGATGACCTTGCACAGGTCCCAGAGGATGCAGTTCATGCAGACTATCTCTGGTTTGTTTCCAGGCTTTGCTAATGTCCAAGTACCTTGTGCTTATTACATGCTTGCAGGTTTGCTCAAATACTGTATATTCATCGGCCTACTAGGTCACTCCATATCCGCTATTTTGAGCACTCAAGCTGGACTTATCTTCATGAACTCGCATGTCCCGATGAACTGTTCCTCACAGGCTACTGCGAAACCATCAACCTTACAGAAGTTCCTGTTATTGGCAGCATCAATGTGCAGTACTCAAGCTCTGTTAGCAGTCTTGAAGCTCAAGAGTACTTTTGCTGGTAAGACATGGCTTAAACTGAATTGTCAGAATATTGATGAACATTGTTTTCAGGTTGACCTATAATGATGCTGATGGCTCATTCACGGATGTCGCTCGAGTCATAGCACTATCTCCAGCCCTCTTCCTCCACCAGACAATTGTCCGGTCTGTCAGCTGAAAGCTCTCTTGGAAGAACAGGCTTATCACGAGATCAGGAATGGTTTTATCCATGTGGGCAGCCCCTACCATCAGGATGACTATGTCCTTCTCCAGAACAACCAGAATGGTCCTGCAAGCATCGGGAGAATTGTTGCAGTCCAGAAGCCTGAGGCTCAGGTTACTGTTGCTCTGTTGGGACGCATGGTTGACCTTGGACCACCACCTAAACCCATGTTGGTTGATGAAGTAAGTGATGGTGTTGTTCAGTTTCATGGTAGTCCTAACTATTATCAACCCAGCGAGAGCTTTTCCTGACTGGAAAGTTCAAGGTAGAGGTTGCCATCAAGCACATCCTTCAACGCTGCATGGTCTTGCACCACGACACCATCCAGGACCTCAAATCATGGCTGGATCAGTCACAACTCCACTTCTATGTGAGGTGCCGTTCTCGATCCCCGCAAGCCTCATGGTCCTCTCTCACCAAGATCTCTCCGACGGAGGTTCAAGTGTGCTGGAGTTGCCATAAGGATGAGAGTGCCTGGACCCAGCAGCTGGAGCTGTTTTTCAAGCAAGCTCACCTTATGAGGGGCCTCGACCTCTTTGGTGGTACAGGAGCTTTTGGACTTGCTATGGAACAGACCAGTCCTCTGAGGATCACACATACAGTGGAGATATCACCCAGTGCTGCAGACACAATGAGGTATCTGGATAGATTGTGTTCCCTCATTAACAGCATGTACTAACACCTCTTGCACACAGGAAGGCTTCTCATGCCGTTGTATATAACCAGTGCACAAATCTGGTACTCAAGTATGCCATCCGGCACCATGCAGGGCAGCACGATGCATCTCTGTGTGACATCAAGGGAATTCAGGAATTACCTCTTCCTCCTATGCCAGGTCAAATCGACTGCATAGTTGCTGGTTTTCCTTGGTGAGTTCCTTATTTCACTCTATGAGTCTACTCACATATTCAATTACAACAGTCAGTCATTCTCGAGCTTGAACAGGTTCAAGCATAAGCATGCCAGGAGGAACCATCTTATGCTCAACCTTCTTTCATGGATCGACTTCCTCCGTCCCAAATATTGCTTCCTGGAGAATGTTCGCGGCTTTCTCAGTTACACCCTCCATGGATCCAGTCGAGGCAGACATAGGGCTGATGGAGAGATTGCAAAAGGTGGCCTGAAGTTCCTTGTCTCTGCCCTCCTAGCAATGGGGTAGGTCCTTCTACTAGTTCTGCATCAATGTCACTCACAAGGCCACCCCAGTTATCAAGTCCGCTTTGGTCTACTGCAGGCTGGCCACTATGGTGCCCCTCAAGGAAGAGTGAGATTTATTCTCATTGCTTCACAAGCAACCTACCCCCTGCCCAATCTACCTCAGCCAACCCATGAGTCTTTGAATCCAGACTCCCTTCAGATCAATCTCACCAAGCCAGAGAAGCTTACACTGCAGCCTATCCCAACCAAGAGTGGGGTTGCCCCCTACAAGCATGTTTCAATCCATGATGCTATTGGAGATTTGCTTAACTTTGACTGGTATGGCATCCCCTTGATCCCAACTTCCAAGATTGATGCACAGTGGGCTAACACATGTGCCATCCTAGGGAACATCCAAAGGAACCATCCAAGTTCCGGAGACCTGGAGTACTATCAGTTCCGTGCAATCCTTTGCAGTCGCACTGGGGTCCTCAGCTCAAGAAAAGCATGGAAATGTACAAGTCGGAGCCCCAGACGACCTTCCAGGCCAGGTGCAGGTTAAAGCACCAAAGGATCCCCAGCACTTCACTCGGACGTTCAAGCCTGCTGTGGTCGAGAGGTCAGTAACTGAGATAATCCACTGGAGATCATGAGCACTCACCCACCCATCGTAGAACCCTGCATGTCTCGAAACATCCCAATGCTGATTACAGAGGTATGCCACACAGCACACTCTGCCCCTCTCTCGGTGCACTCTTTCAGCAGTACTCATCCACTCATCATGCTGCCTACAGATCTGCCGGCAAGTTTGTGGGACTTCCAGCTGTCGGATCCCCTCTCCGCCATTGGACGGAAGGGTTTCCCACCAGGATTCTATGGCCGGCCTGACAAGAACAAGTGGTTCCGCACCATCTCGACCAACCTGCAGCCGACAGCAAGGCAGAGCTACGTGCTCCACGGTGATGTCCGTCGCAGAAACCGCTGCCTTTCGAATGTACGCGCTGATGCATTGCTTGCAGGACGGTCGAATCTTCACGGTCCGGGAGTTCGCGCGCGCACAGGGCTTCCCCGACTGGTTCGAGTTTGTTGCGCACAACGACGACGTGGACACGGTGAGCGCATCAAGTTGGACTGCTCGTTCACGAAGCCCGAGGTGTACGTACGCACACCCAGATGGCATCGACAGATCGGAATGCTGGTTCCGTGGCAATTGGGGTGAACACTCGGCCGTAGTTGCGCGACGCGATGTTTGAAGAGGTGGCGGAGAATCGGGAAAGAGGCGACCATGATATCAACCAGATTCCGATGAGTGACGAGGGCGATCCATTACAATGAACCTTCAAGGATAGATATACACGAAGCTACATAAAGAGCGATTATTTCGACACAACGGTCAAGAAGG